ATTATCAAGGGCTCATGATGGAGGGGGGAATGGGGATGGGGAGGGAAAATAAGGAGCTGATATGGAGGGCTCAAGTAGAAAGCAAATATTTCGAGAATGATGATGGCAACAACTGTACAAATGTGCTTGACACAATGGATGGATGTATGGATTGTAATAAGAGTTGTATGAGCCCCTGATAAAATGATTTAAAAAAAGAGAATTTCACATTGATCTCCTTCACTAGAAAGATGGATATTTTTGAGTCAAGGTGATTAGAGTAGCTTTGAAATGTAGGAGCCTTGTTTATAGACATACCCTCAATCCCAGCCACCAGATGTCCCATTGTTCATATGCCCCTTATCCAGCAATGGAGTAGCACAGGACAAAGCTGGATGATCTAATCTATAATCTCAGCTGGAGTATCCAAGCTAAATCTTTCTGTCCATTTGGTTGTTTAATGTGACTCCAATCGCAAATATTCTCAGCTGGAATATAATATGTGATATAATTTTCTCATACTTTATATGTACTCCAGTAGATCCATTAATAAATGTTTTTCAAGACATTTTTATACTTCTTAGTGTATATCACTGATCAACACCAAACCATCCTCTTCCCTAAATCTATATATTCTTATCTTGGACCACTTCTCTTTCCAAAAACCAGATACAGATGATTAGTTAATTACACAGTGTGAATTTCCCTTTTCTGATGCCTTTCAAAACCATGACTAAGGTGTTTGATAGCTCACCAAAAACCCATTTTAGTTTATACCAACTTACTAAACTGATCATCCAAGAACCAAGCTTGGCATCTTATATTCTATCAATAGGTGAGGGCAGAATTATGAGTTGAGGGGTAGATAGATGACATGAATTCTGAGTCACCTGTGTGTGCAGCTTACGGTGTCCTCTGACCCTATTTCTGCCTTATCCTGGATCTACCACTTTTATCTTATAATGGATTGGTCTCTGTGTGGGCTTATATGAAGGGACCTTGAAAAGTTCTGGCAAGCATTCTATTATCTTTTAATTGCATTTAATTTTCATGAGTGTTTTGAAAGCCATCTTGTACTTGGTTAGCTTGACCAATTCCAGTCATAAAGTGGAGTTCTGTTTTTATGATCATTCAATGTCCCAGAGTTAGGAGCTCTTTCTCTATTAAAAGTTCATAACGTTCCAGGGAGTTCTTTTTGAGTAACTTATAATAAGTATCTTCTGTAGGCATCAAGTTATTTCTCAAAACCATAGGGGGGTTATGTTGTCATTCTCCATTTGAAGCTTTCCATAAACTCTACATTTCTACCCCTCTCAGATATGTCTAAGTTCATATGACCCAAAGCTCAGGTCTGCTTGTGCCCTGGTTTGAACACGCTGAAGAGCCCTTTCCTCTTCTGGATTCAATTTGCCACTAGTATTATTTTCCTGTTTGAACAGCTATAATCAAGGTGTTCAGACTATAATAATGAACAAATGAGAAAAAGTTCCTCCCCTCTTAAATCCAACATGAACACTACAGGTTTTTGTGAGGGTCATTTTCTTTAACCAAAGTGACTCACAAAGCATCTTTAATTAATGTCACATGGTTTTGGTGTTCAGAAGACTGAGTCTCCCCACAGAAATACATTGCTGTAAGTTCAAGTAAATCCCTTAGGTTTGGATGTAAAATGAAGCTTGCACTATAATTACAGTCATTGACCTATTAGTAGTCACCTTGATGTTTGTTCTTTTAATCCCAAATGTTTTGACACCAAAATTTATATGCAGAACTTCTAGTGGTCCTAACAGTATAAGGCAAGCAACCATCTGTTACAAACTCTTCTTAGAGAAATTCAGGTAAGGGAATTATTCTAATTGATTTTTCTCTTATTATGGACTTTCATAAATATTTTATTTCTCAAAATTTATTATTTATGTTGCTCTTAGATTTCAATTTATTAGTTATTTCTTAGCATCTGTATAAGTTGAAAACTTGGAGAGCTAGGATGAGATACACTATTATTAGTTTTTCAGACTTTCTTAATAAGGTAGAGTTATAAAACGTACAGGTAGAAATACAAAATAATTCTATTAAATAATTCAGGTATATTTATTTAAAGTTAAATCTAATTCAGTTGGATAATTCAATGGTTTACATTTAACATTTTAGAAATGTTGGTAAAATGTTTAGTCAGTTTCTTTGCTTTGATGTTTACCAAAAAATTACTTTTAGTATTATACAAAATTAAATCCATTTCAACCATAGAATTTCCATGACTATGATGTGTTATTGCTAGGATTAGAAAATTAGAGATATAACCTTTTGAGGAAAAACCAAAAAAAATTGTTTTAAAAATTCTCAAAATATTCATTTTCTCTTTTTAAAGTTTAGAATATTAAAATATAAATGCAAGCTTCACTTAATTTATTAATTCACAAGTTATTGTCCTGCAATACAGAAAATCTGATAATTTTCAAGGACGCAAATATAGTAGAAAATATTTCACAACATTATTAATATAATTAATATCATTACATTGTAAGCTTGAACTTAAATTGACATGTGTTGTGTTGCTTATAATTTTACATTTTTAAAGTAAAATCAAATAATTAAAAAAGCACCGATTTTTAAAAAAAGACCTTTTACTCATTTCCTTTGTAGGCTCTTCTTCAAAGTTCATAATAATTTCCCCTGCAGATGTCAACGACATCACTTACTTTCATAGTTAAAACAATAAAAGAGGTTTGTCCCAGGTGATCAGGATAGAGGCAAGATTCAAAGCCATTCTGCCACCTTACCTTAGCACTTTAAAGTTCCCTGCATAGAAATCTGAGACACAAATAACTTCAAATTCTTAAAATCTACAAAGAAATTGTATGTGTACATATAAAAGATTAAATAATAGAAATTCTAGATTATGTTGAATATATAACACCTACTTAAGTCTCAGGAAATGGAGATCAGTGTGGTCTTGGTTATTGAATTAAAACTCTATTAAATAGTATTCATTATATGCAAACTACACCTCAAATAATAAGTTGAAAGAATGTTTGGTCAAATTTCCAAATACCTGGATGAAAAACAATTATTTCTAAGAGGTAATAGCATGAGAATGGAGCAGTGGGTAAATATTGGACATCTAGCCTAAAAGGTGGGAAAATCCAAGCCACGACTGCTCCTTGGGAGAAAGGTAAGGCAGTACATTGACATCAAGTTGCACAGTCTTGAACACTCAATTTTACTCTGTCTGATAGCATAGCCATGAGTCAGCTTTGACTCAAACTTAGTAAGTCCATAGAAAGGGCTGTCAGCACTTATGAAAATGAGAGAGTGTGGTATTGAGATGGGGGGATAAAGGTGTTGAAACTGGGGGATAAAAGCTAAGGGCAGAAGAGCTACTGCTGCATATGAGACAGAAAACTGTGAGTGCCATCCTAAACAATACACATGCTAAACAAGAAATGCAGAGGTCTTCAGAGTAATAAAGCTTTCCTTTCTGAAATCTCATGAATTGTTGACCACTGAACACCAACAAATATAAATAGAAAGAAAATTATCTTGACTGTGTAATCAAACAGTATCTGCTTTCTATCTGATGAATGGTAGAAGACTATGGAACAAACTGGAAAGGATACAAATGGATGTTTTTTAAATCTTACAAATGGTCATGATTTGTAGAATATTATAACCAAATCTCACAAAGTTAAAGCAATAAAAGACACTTGGGTTAGAAATACAAGTATTCTAATAAAGGACAAGATATAATATTTATTTACAACTTATCTCAGAAAAAGTGCTCTGTCATAGCATAATGGTTTAATTATAAATTTAATACATTCAGATAGGAACTGGAAACATGGGGAATCCAGGACAGACGAACCCCTCAGGACCAGGGGTGAGAGTGGCGATACTTGGAGAGTGGAGGGAAGTTGGGGTAGAAAGGGGGAACTGATCACAAGGATCTACACATAACCTCCTCTCTGGGGAATGGTCAACAGAATGATGGGTGAAGGGAGCCGCCGGACAGTGTAAGATAAGATATAATAATAATTTATAAATTATTATTTAAGGGTTCATGAGGGAGGGGGGAGAGGGGAGGTGGAGGGGAAAAGGAAATTGAGGAGCTAATTCCAGGAACCCAAGAGGAAAGCGAATTTTGAGAATGGTGAGGGCAACAAATGTATAGGTGTGCTTTACAAATTGATGTGTGTATGGATTGTGATGAATTGTATGAGCCCCAATAAAAAGATTTGGG